TTATATTTAGACACATGGTTAGAAATAAATATGTGTGTGTCACGTGTGGAGAGCGTGTCTGGACGTAACCCTGAAATATCACTGACGCCACGACTACAGACACACACACACACACAGACACACACACACACAGCCTGTTTTACTGTCTGTCTGAGGACCAGGTAACTCTGCAGTACCAGTATCTACAGATACTCCCAGTATGTGTGTGTGTGTGTGTGTGGGTGTGGGTCAGACTCCATGTGGTCTGCTGGGAGGTCATGGGGTCACTGGCCTCCTCTCCGTACATGGCGTAGACTGTGACTGTGTACTCAGTGGTTGGAGTCAAACCTTCCAGCTCCACCTCGTTCACTGACTCCTCCACCTTCACCTGTGTTCACACACACACACACACACACACACACACACACTCTGATGAGTCTTTAGGGTCACCATCTCTCTCTCTCTCTCTCTCTCTCTCTCAGTTTGGTTTCCCTGAGGCAGCAGGATCCACAGGTGTGTTCCAGGGTGAGCAGAGGTCAGAGGTCAGAGGTCAGCAGAGAACTGAACTCTTCACCTGCTCGGTTCTGTGTCCAGACAGCTGTGGTTAAACAACAGGGTTGTGGGCCTGACTCCTGGCCTGTAGGCTGCCCCCTGGTGGCCAGAATGGTTCCAAACAAATGCAGCGCCTCAGTCCTCCCCCCCCCCCCCCCCCCCGCCTTCCCCCCCCCCTCCCCTCCTTCACCTCCTTCTCGTCGGCAGCGTCTCCTTCAGTCAGGGGGGCGTAGAGGATCATGTACCCAGAAGCCCCTGCTGCGATCTTCCAGCGGACCCTCATGGTGCTGTGAGTGATGTCAAACAACTCCAGGTCGTTGACCATGGGCAGGGCCACTGACACACACACAGGAGGCGAGGTCAGAGGTCAGAGGTCAGAGGTCAGGAACAGTGAGGGCAGACACGGACACGACTTCCCGCGGACAGACTCACGTGTGGTCGCGCTTCCTCTCAGCGCCTCGCTGGCCGAGCTGCGGTACACGGCGAACACGGCCACCTGGTACTCGGTCAGAGAGTTGAGGTAGGTGAGTTCCACGCTGTTCTGCGTTCCCTGGAGCACCTGGAACAGAGGAACATCTGAGAACATCTACAGCCAGCTGAAGGTTCTGACCACTGCACCAGCAGCTACCTTCTCTTCAGGCTGCCCCCCACTGGCGGGGTAGTACACCACACGGTACTTCTCCACCTGCCCGGCCGCGTGCGTCCACGTCACCCGGAAACTGCGAGCCGTGATGTCGGACGCCACCAGGTCACGGGGGGGAGAAACAGCGGGGGGCGGAGGGGCAGGAACTCCCCCTGGTGACGAAAAACGTAATTACCGATGGATGAGGAGAACCTGAAGATGGTTCTACAGTCTGGGCCGCGGACAAACCTCGGATCCGTTTGTCCTGATTCTCCACCTGGTCACAGAGCGTCTTCGCCAGACCCTCCACGATGTCACTCATCACGCTGAAGTCTGCCACGTTGTAGACGTGAGTGTCCTCGGGGGGGGACGCGATGGACTTCAGCTCGTTCTCATCTGCGTTCTTCACACCTGACACAGACAGACAGAACGACAGACAGTCAGACAGACAGACAGACAGACAGACAGACAGACAGACGGTCAGACAGACAGACAGACAGTCAGACTGTCCTCCATGGCGGTCAGTCGACCACCCGTTCATTCATTGGTTGGTCGTGGTCACATGTCCGTCCCTCTGTCATACCGATGGCGAAGAGTTCAATCCCAGCGTTCCTCAGGCTCTGGGCTGGTGGAATGACGTCGTCCTGGGATTTGCCATCAGTGATGAGGATTCCGATCTTGGGAATGCCGGCTCTGGATCCAGACTCTGGTTTGAAGCTGTTCTCCAGGATGAAGGTCAGAGCCAGACCTGGAGGACAGACAGGGTGACACTGATGATGTCATCCAGACCCAGGAGAGGCTGGACCAGAACTAAGACCTGACCTGGTGCCGGCTGACTCTCCCTCACCCTGTCATCTGCCCCCCCCCTCTCTTCCCCGTCCCAGTACCTGTCAGGGTGTTGCCCCCCTTGTAGGGCAGGTTCTTCACGGCGTCGATCACGGCCTCCTTGGTGCTGTGGGTGTTGAGGTGCCACTCGATCCTGGGGTCTCCACTGTACTGGGCCAGACCTGTGGGTCAACACCAGAGGAAGTCTCAGCACCGCAAAGGTCAGTGCAGGTCACAGGTCACATGTCACCGGGGGAACCAAACCCCCCCCCCTCACCTATGCGGGTCTTGTCGATCTCCACGTTGAAGGCTCGGACCAGGTTCTCAAGGAAGGTCCTGACCAGCCTGAAGTTGATCCGACCGATGCTCCAGGAGCCGTCCACCAGGATGACGATGTCGGCGACGGCCGGGGTCTTACACATGAAGCCCACGTTGGCTGCAGAGACGGAGAGACACAGGGTCAGAACCTGGGCCACGGGGAAAACATCTGGCCTTCAGGTGGGTCGCAAGAGTGTTTGGTTTTGAGGTGGTCTCTCATCATGTTTAGTTTATGAATAATGTCCACTGACGCCAAGGTTTGTGACTTAAAATATGGGTGTCCAGAAAAAAGGGTTGGGAAAAACTGGATGAGAGTTAGCGCGGTCTACGTTAGCTGGGTCTACGTTAGCCTGGTCACCGTTAGCTGGGTCTACGTTAGCTGGGTCCTGTCATTAAAGTTTAGAGGTTGAGTCAGGGACCAGAGGGACAGGAGGGACAGAGTCAGGGACCAGGAGTCAAACTGTTGTAGAACATGTCTTTGTTGGGAAGCTACACACTCGGCCCTCACACACACACACACACACACAGTGTGTTCTGGCTTCTACGTTAGCTGGGTCACCGTTAGCTGGGTCCTGTCATTAAAGTTTAGAGGTGGAGTCAGGGACCAGAGGGACAGGAGGGACAGAGTCAGGGACCAGGAGTCAAACTGTTGTAGAACATGTCTTTGTTGGGAAGCTACACACTCGGCCCTCACACACACACACACACACACAGTGTGTTCTGGCTTCTACGTTAGCTGGGTCACCGTTAGCTGGGTCTCCGTTAGCTGGGTCTACGTTAGCCTGGTCACCGTTAGCTGGGTCTACGTTAGCTGGGGCACCGTTAGCTGGGTCACCGTTAGCTGGGTCCTGTCATTAAAGTTTAGAGGTTGAGTCAGGGACCAGGAGTCAAACTGTTGTAGAACATGTCTTTGTTGAGAAGCTACAGTCGGGCCTCACACACACACACACACACACACACACACTGATCAGATCCTGGTGGGAACCTCAGACTGTGGAGCTGATCCAGAACACAAACATGTTCTACTGTTGACACGGAACCGAGTGAAAACAGTACCAGGACATGCTGTGGCCTGACAGAAATGTTCTAATACATGATCAGTCTGTGAGGAGTCACTGCCACTGAGGAGGAGGAGGAGGAGGAGGAAGGGACAGGAGGGACAGAGTCAGGGACCAGGAGTCAAACTGTTGTAGAACATGTCTTTGTTGAGAAGCTACAGTCGGGCCTCACACACACTTTCTCAGGTTAGTTCCGAGGAGACCAGAGGAGGTTGAAGGAGGTGCTGAGTCAGGCAGGGGCAGATGGTGTTCTGAAGGGTCAAAGGTCAGCAGGTCACAGGTGGATATTTGAAGGAGTCATCAAACTTCTATCTTCTAACAAACTGCTTTAACACAGAAGAGGTGCAGCGGTTACCACCACTAGAGGGCAGATGTCCTGTCTAACTGATGTAAAACAAGCAGCTACAGACAGGGTCAAAAGGTCAGAGTAGGAGTACAGTCAGAGCGGGAGTACAGTCAGAATGGAGTACAGTCAGAGCGGGAGTACAGTCAGAATGGAGTACAGTCAGAATGGAGTACAGTCAGAGTTGGAGTACAGTCAGAATGGAGTACAGTCAGAATGGAGTACAGTCAGAATGGAGTACAGTCAGAATGGAGTACAGTCAGAGCGGGAGTACAGTCAGAATGGAGTACAGTCAGAATGGAGTACAGTCAGAATGGAGTACAGTCAGAATGGAGTACAGTCAGAATGGAGTACAGTCAGAGCGGGAGTACAGTCAGAATGGAGTACAGTCAGAGTGGGGCGTACAGTCAGAGTGGAGTACAGTCAGCGTGGGGAGTACAGCCAGAGTGGGGAGTACAGCCAGAGTGGGGAGTACAGTAAGGGGGGGAGTACAGTCAGGGTGGGAGTACAGTCAGGGTGGGAGTACAGTCAGCGTGGGAGTACAGTCAGCGTGGGAGTACAGTCAGAATGGAGTACAGTCAGAATGGAGTACAGTCAGAGCGGGAGTACAGTCAGAATGGAGTACAGTCAGAGCGGGAGTACAGTCAGAGTAGGAGAACAGTCAGAGTGGGGCGTACAGTCAGAGTGGAATGCAGTTCGGGGGGGGAGTACAGTCAGAGCGGGAGTACAGTCAGAATGGAGTACAGTCAGAATGGAGTACAGTCAGAGTAGGAGTACAGTCAGAGTAGGAGAACAGTCAGAGTGGGGAGTACAGTAAGGGGGGGAGTACAGTCAGGGTGGGAGTACAGTCAGCGTGGGGAGTACAGCCAGAGTGGGGAGTACAGCCAGAGTGGGGAGTACAGTCGGAGGGGGAGAACAGTCAGGGGGGGGAGACAATCAGAGGGGGAGTACATTCAGAGTGGGAGTACAATCAGAGTGGAGTACAGTCAGAGGAGGAGTACCGTCAGAGTGGGAGGACAGTCAGAGTGGGAGTACAATCAGAGTGGAGTACAGTCAGCGTGGGGAGTACAGCCAGAGTGGGGAGTACAGCCAGAGTGGGGAGTACAGCCAGAGTGGGGAGTACAGTAAGGGGGGGAGTACAGTCAGGGTGGGAGTACAGTCAGCGTGGGGAGTACAGCCAGAGTGGGGAGTACAGCCAGAGTGGGGAGTACAGCCAGAGTGGGGAGTACAGTAAGGGGGGGAGTACAGTCAGGGTGGGAGTACAGTCAGCGTGGGAGTACAGTCAGGGTGGGAGTACAGTCAGCGTGGGAGTACAGTCAGGGTGGGAGTACAGTCAGGGTGGGAGTACAGTCAGGGTGGGAGTACAGTCAGAATGGAGTACAGTCAGAGTAGGAGACACATCTTTTAGTTAAAACCACATCTCGGTGGTGGTGAACACCTGCTGCCTCAGGGAGGGGAGCTCAGGTGACTCCCTCTGGGGTGGTGGAGGGGGGGCTCTGTTGTGTTTGATTTATAGTAAGTGGAACCCTAACCTTTGGTTGACCTTTACTTTCTATCCTTGTCAGGACACAGGCTCCTCACACACAGAGTTTAGGAATGTGTAAAAACACACACACACACACACACACACACACAGTGTGTTCTGGCTGTGCAGAGGCAACAACGCTACTGCATCCAGCTGCTGATGTAACAACAGTGTGATGGTGGTGTGTGTGTGTGTGTGTGTGTGGGGGGGGGGGGGTGTAATTCAGCTGAACTGTGCCCTGGAATAACTGAGATTCCACTCAGATTTGAACAGGAAGAATGTGAGACAAAGCTCAGTAAATTATACTACAACCACAGAGTTACACAAGAGAGTACACAGCTGTGAGTACTGGCCAAAACACATTAGACTGTTGACACATTTAAATCATCCAACCAGAGGTTCAGCCACCATCAGACATGACACAGTCACCCAGCGGAGTGGAGCCGATGTGTCGACGGCTGCTCACTCTGCCCCAACAAACCCCACGGAGAAAACCAGAGATTTTAGTTCAGACCAAAGTCCATTGTAAGTCTAACTCTATTTTTAGGGTCGTTACAAATCTTGTTTCACTTTAACAATAAGGAACCTGTGAGATTTTCAATAAAAAATGCATCCATGAGTGGTTTGACCAAACTGGGTCAGGGCAGGACTCAGTGAATTCCAGCTAATTACTGCACAAACACAAACTTTCTTCCTCTTCTCCTCCCACAGCCTCACCTTGACTGTGGATGTTTCCTGTGTGAAAAAGAAGACGCTGCAGAGTGACAGCTGAGCTGCAGCAGTTGTAAAGTGTCTAAGAACAAGGAGGTAAGGCTGGAGCTGAGGTATTCAACTGCAAGTGTGGGCACGGAGAAGACTGTCAGCTATGAAATGAGGGAGGGAGAGGGAGAGAGTGGGAGGAAGGAGAGAGACAGGATTTCTCGATATAAGACAATAAGCAGGAGAGGAAAGGGGGTGAGGTACAAAGTAAGTCAGGGTAGGTTAATTACCCCACTGCACCTGACTGGAACAGATATGAGTCAGTGGTCGTGGTCCAGATGATGTCACGATGACATCATTATCAACTCAATGATGTCAGGAATATTCTGAACAGGAGGACTTTTAAAAAAGTACTTTCTCAAAGTCAAACCATTATTTCCACAAATGTTGGTGTGGTTGGTAAAAACAAACTTGAAGGTTCAGAGAAAACAATCTGAACTAAAATCTCTGATTTTCTCCATGGACTTTGGTCTGAACTAAAATCTCTGATTTTCTCCATGGACTTTGGTCTGAACTAAAATCTCTGATTTTCTCCATGGACTTTGGTCTGAACTAAAATCTCTGATTTTCTCCATGGACTTTGGTCTGAACTAAAATCTCTGATTTTCTCCATGGACTTTGGTCTGAACTAAAATCTCTGATTTTCTCCATGGACTTTGGTCTGAACTAAAATCTCTGATTTTCTCCATGGACTTTGGTCTGAACTAAAATCTCTGATTTTCTCCATGGACTTTGGTCTGAACTAAAATCTCTGATTTTCTCCATGGACTTTGGTCTGAACTAAAATCTCTGATTTTCTCCATGGACTTTGGTCTGAACTAAAATCTCTGATTTTCTCCATGGACTTTGGTCTGAACTAAAATCTCTGATTTTCTCCATGGACTTTGGTCTGAACTAAAATCTCTGATTTTCTCCATGGACTTTGGTCTGAACTAAAATCTCTGATTTTCTCCCTAAAATC